TAAAAATATAATTTGAAGCAGCTATAAAAATGTGGAAATGAAATGACAATAGGTATTATGATAGAAATGTAAAAAATTAAGGTAGTTAAAAATCTGCATCTGTGATGAATTTGTGAGTATCTTCGCCACGAATACGCGACATAATGTTAGCCCTCTGGTATTCGCCAACGCGCTTCTCGAAAAAATTGGTTTTGCCCTCCAGAGATATATTTTCCATAAAATCAAACGGATTTTCGGAGTTCCAAATCTTCTTGTAACCAAGTTCAGACAGAAGACGATCAGCCACAAACTCTATGTAGCGACACATAAGAGCGCAATTCATCCCAATGAGACTGACGGGCAAAGCATCAGTGAGAAATTCTTGCTCAATTTTTACTGCCTCCTCCATTATAGAATGGATCCTCTTCTCTTCCGGTTTTGCAATGATATGCTTAAATAGGAGGCAAGCGAAATCGCAATGCAGTCCCTCATCTCGACTTATAAGCTCATTGCTGAAGGTGAGGCCGGGCATAAGACCACGCTTTTTAAGCCAAAATATCGCGGCAAAGCTGCCTGAGAAGAAAACACCTTCTACAGCTGCAAAAGCTGCGACACGTTCAGAGAATGGAGAATTTGTATCTCCAATCCAGTCGAGAGCCCATTGCGCCTTTTTTCTGACGCACTCCAAGTTGCCGATTGCATTAAGCAAAAAGTCCCTACACAACAAAAGATATATGCCAACTTACTTTTCAACAGAATCTCTGATGTAAGTATCAATAAGAAGAGAGTACATTTCAGAATGTATATTCTCAATAGCGATTTGTATGCCATAAAAACAGCGAACTTCTGGGATCTGAACTTCTTGGCTAAACCGCTCGATAAGATTTTCCAAAACTATCCCATCACTAGCAGCGAAAAATGCAAGAACGTAAGATAGAAAGCGTCGCTCTCCCGGCTTAAGTGAATTCCAATGAGGAAAGTCTTTAGACAAATCAACTTCCTCTACTGTCCAGAAGGAAGCCACAGCTTTCTTATAGAATTTCCAAATGTCAGGATACTCAATGGGAAACATTACAAAGCGCCTTGGATTGGGGCGCAATAATGGTTCGATTGCCAATTCATCTTTGCTAACGGAATAGGTCTTAACATAGCTTAACGCCTGAAAATATTATAGATAAAAAGGTACCTTGGAAATTGTCGGGCCCCTGTTCACTATGGTCTGCAAAAGAGGAAATATAACTATCAAAAACAAACCGAAAAATCAACTAGTTCATTCTCTTTGTCGTTACTAAGCATTGATTAGATAGAAAGGGAGAGTGCCGGAGAAATGATGCAGCAG